CAAAACATCATGGCTCCAAAAGACCCTTTTAAAAAACTTTTCAAAGCAACCAATGTTGGCAGAAACAGCCCATGGAGCCAGTGATGGAGAGTCCTGGCCTTGGAGGCAGGCTGGACTTAGCCCTATTGGTAAGTGGCCGAGGGGGCTTGGACAAGTGGATTCACTTCTATTGGCTTGTGCTTCCTTATCTCTAGACTCAATGGACTTTAAAGCTTAGTCGGTGGCCATAAGCTTACCCAATTAGAGAGACGGCATCTTAGAATGCAGAGAGAGCCGTGTAAAGGAGGGGAAAAAATGGCAATATTCTAACATGGAGAGGAAATAAGACAGAAAATAAGTCTTCCTGGGAAAGGCACAGTCAAACCCTTTAATGGACCTCTACTGGATCATGAGGGTTGGCACTGGACAGTTGGCCTTCACAGGATCATAGTTTTAAAACTTACCTGCTGTGTGACCTCAGTCAAGTTATATAATCTTTTTGCCTCAGTTTCCTCATCTGTAAAACTGGAATAATAATAGCCTCTAATTTCCAGGGTTGCTGTGAGGATCAAACAAGTTACTTGTAAAGCATCTAGCATGGTGCCTGGTGCATAATAAATGCTATAAAAATGTTGACTATTATTAGCTATCATTATTTTACTCTTTTTTTGGGGGGGGGTCGGGTTAGGCAATAGGTTTAAGTGACTTGCACAAGGTCACACAGCTAGTAAGTGTTATGTGTCTGAGACCGGATTTGAACTCAGGCCCTCCTGAATTCAGGGCCGGTGCTCTATCCACTAGCAGAGCTGGAAAGAATGTTCAAGACAATCCACTGCAATCTCGCCTTTCTTCAGAGTTGAGGAAACAGAGGCCAGGCAAGATATGGAGAGTGTCTGAAGTCAAGTCCCTTGATCCCAAGTTTGACGAAACTTGAGGCCAAGTAAGGTTCAGTAAGAGTCTGAAGCCAGGTCCCCAACCCAAAATCCACTGAGTAGTAGTGGAATAAAGCACACAAAATGCAGTGCATCTAACAATTCTGCCCAGGGCCTTGATTATAGTCCCATTTTACAGATCAACGAGTGGAGAAAAATTGCTGGAAGAAAAAGAAAAAACAATCTGAGTTCCAAATTCTCCTCTCTATAAAAAAGGAGAATGATACCTAAAATACTTAGAAAAAGTTTCATAAGGTGAAATTTGGGGTTCATAGAAACGGAATTGACTAGCCTGGCTGGTATGTGATTCCCAAAACAATTAAAATGCATTTGTTAAAATAGCACAGTACACAATTCCTTAGAAAGTATTCCAGTACATCAGCGTAGCCTTAAGGAATGGAACACATAAAGACTACAAAGAATCATCACTGGATCACAGATTTAGAGACGGAAGTGACCTTACAGGTCGTTGAGTGCAATCTTAGTTTACAGATGAGAAAACTAAGGTTCAGAGGATTTAAAATTTGCCCAAATAATTTTTGAAAAAGACTGTCGCTGCTTCTCCACTTTAAGCAAACCTGGCATTGGGAGAATTGTCATTTATATAATAAATGAGGTGACAATTAACCTAAGACAGAAGTCTTTACAAGAAGTTATAACACAGGGCCACTTTATATAACAAGCTCCTTTACTGCATTTTAGGTCATCCAATTAAAAAATAACATTTATATGCGGCTTGTCTGCCTCTGTCAACTCTATAAAGTTTGGTTGTAGGAAGGATGATGATGCCATTTGCAATGGAGGAATGTATTAGGTGGCTGGTCAAAAGCCTACCCAGACCTCACACCCATCCCACTGGCAAAGGTGGACACAAAAGGAAAATGATGAATGTGGGTGGGGGTGGGGAACTGGTACAGCCACTGTGGAAAGTAATTTGGAACGATGCCCAAAAGTTACTGGTCTCCGCCATCACTACGGATTTATATTTTCTGGCTAATGGAGAAGGAATTCGAAACTCATGCTCTACAGATAGGGTTAATGGATGTAGTTCATTTTGAATGATACTTTAATCTATAAAACCCCACTCCCACCCCCAGCACTACCAGAGCAGGAAAGGGAAATGAGAGATTTTTTAGTAGCTTCATAGCATAATTTATTGTAGCCAACAGAATTCAGCACACATTTATAAGATGCCTACTATGTGCAAAGCATTATCCTAGGCACTGAGGAGATAAAGTTCAAAAATAGACACAGTCCCTGACCTTCAGGAGTGTTTATTCTTCAGTGGTGGGGCAGGTATCATATATATACAAGGGGGCAGCATATAGTGCATAGAAATATGTGCTTAGAGAAACCTGTCTGTTAAAAATAGACGATGTTTCTTTGTTCAGTAAGATTCAGAAAATTTCAAAGATGCTTTTACATTTTCTTTTTTTTTTCAATTTTTCTGAACATTGAAACTGAGAATTGCAAGAAAATTCAGGTGTAAATATATTTATGTAGTATTACCAAGTCACATCCCATTGTTTAGAAAGTTGAAGAATCTAGGGCTTGTTTCATTACTTATACTTGGATTCCCAACACCCAGCCCAGTGCCTGACACATAGTAGGTGATTTACTTCTTGACTGATTATCTCTGTCCTTGGTCAGTTCTGTGGCACTTTCCCCTCTGTCACTGTTTCTGTCAGGCAGTAAGCTTGGCTCACTCGCTGCTCAGCCCTTCATGTCTGGGCAAATTGAGCCATTTTTGCCCTCCCTTCTTGGCGGGGCATGTTCATTTGTGCCATCACTGATGGTTTCCCGTTCATATTCCTCCCTTCTGTCCTCAGGCTTTTGTGGCTTTCTTCTTTTCTCCCTTTCAGCATGCAGCTAGTATTGGCAGAAAAATGTGACTGTTTTCCCCAAGGCACTGGTGAAATCAGCAGCAAAAATAGAAAAATACAACCTTGGTCTCCCTGTGCCATCTTCCACCTCCCAGCTCTGAGGTGGACTCTGCTTGGGTGGCTGGTGACTCCTCATCCAATTTTGCTATAAATCATTTCCTGACTATTTAGAGCCTGTGATTCTGATTTGGTAGAGCTGGTTTCCCAAGTCTAGGCTTTTCTTCCTTCCATTTATTACATAAAGTAAATAGCCTTTTTTGTTAAACACATGGGTGATCACACAAAAGCGTGGAATATAGGTTTCTTTAGTTTCTCCCTTTGAAAATTGAATGAGAAGACTGCATAGGCTTTTTTCTTTAAATAAATTTGTATTGATATATTTTGTTTTTATATCACCAATTTTTTTTTCCTATATACCCTCTCCCCTTTCTCAGAGAGATATCCCTTACAGCAAAAGAATTTTTTTAAAGAAAAAATGAGGAATTAGAGAAAAAAAATCAGCAAAACCAATCAACATAAATAAAAGAATCTAACAATATGGGCAATATTTCAGACAGAATAGGCTTTTAAAATTTTTTATTTTTTTTAATTAGCAAGCATTAATTTTTTTCTCTCTCCCACAAAAACAAAAAGAAAGGAAAAACTCTTTGTAAGAAATATGCACAGTCGAGTAAAACAAATTCCCATAATGGCCATGTCCAAAAATGGGTGTCTCATTGTGCATGTCTCTCAGGAAGTGGATAGCATTCTTTACCTTTGGTCTTTTGGAATCATGAAGGATCACTCTAGAGATCTGAGTTTTCTAAAACTGTTTGTTTTTATTATATTGATATATATATATAAAATATGAATTTTTCTTCTGGTTCATTTTGTTATCAGTTCATACCACTCTTCCCAGATTTCTCTGAATTTGTATCCACTACCATTTCTTATGACACGATAATATTTCATTATGTCCACATACCATAATTTGCTCAGCCATTCCCCAAAGCAAAAACAACTACTATAAATATTTTTATATATAAAAGACTTTTTATTCTTTCTTTGGTCTCTTTTGCGTATAGGCCTAGCAATGGTATTAACGGGTCAAAGCTACTCAGTAACTTTTTGGGTATAAGTCCAAATTCCTTTCCACAATGGCTGTACCAATTCCCACTTCTACCCACATTCATCATTTCCTTTTTGTGTCCAACTTTACTAGTGGGATGGGGGTGAGGTCTGGGTAGGCTTACACATTCCCCCACTTTCACATGAGCCGCTGCAAATGGCATCCTCCTTCCAAAAGCCAAACTTTACAACAGATGCAGATGAGCTGCATATAAATGCTATTTTTAACTGGATGACCTACAATGCAGTAAAAAAGCTTGTTAAATAAAGCGGTCCTGGGGTATAGTTTCTTGTAAAGATTTCTTTTGTTAATTGTCATTTCATTTATTTTACAAATGACAGTTTTCCCAATGCCATGTTTTCTTAAAATGGAGATGTAGTGATGGTCTTTTTTTTTTAATCTGTGCAAATTTTTTAGTTCCCTGGGCCTCAGTTTTCTCATCTGTAAAATAAGATTGCACGCAATGACCTCTAAGATCACTTCCACCTCTAAAAGCTACAGAAAAGGGATAGGTCAATGGTAGAGATCAATGGCACAAGCTGATAAGAAAGGTCGTTGCAAAGATCAATGAACGTGACCACAGCAATGTACACTTAGAGGGACCAGGCAAATCAGTAACAGATAGCTGATGAGAGATTAGGGTTATACCATGAGGTCCTGAAACAAAGAATAGCTAACTGGCCCCAGTCAGAATTAAAACCTCAGTCTCATTAGTGCCATGCTTTAGCCCAATGTGCTAACCACTAACAGACAATGAATTTTACATATAAATGCTGATTTATTCAGCACACTTTTGCATATTTTCAAAAAAAGATTTATCTTAAAAAAATCATTTCAGAAATCAGTTCAGGCATCGCTTGATGCTTCAGGAAAATCAAGCAGAACAAGTAAGATTCAACCTGCACAAAACAGACTAAGCCTTGTTAATATTAAAATAAAAGATCATTTGTTAACTCTGCTCAGAAAACTCTCACGTGAAAAAAAGTAAAGTTTAAAGCCACAAACATCGGTCCCCTAAAGATACAGATTAGTGCTGCCCAGCTATTTTCACTATCAGGTAGTACAAACTCTATCCATCCTCTCTCTCACAGCACTAACCTGCTGGGCTCCATCTCCATTCACTAGATGAGGCATCATGGCGACCTCTCCACTCAGCAATGGCGGCAGTTCCAGAGGGATTTGGTCGGTCATCATCATGGTGACGTACATTCATGGAGAGTTTTACTCAACTGGTTTCCTGCAAGAGAAAAAGACCCACTATTAATAAAAAAAGACTAGTGGCATGAGGATCTCCCCCTAAAACTACAGCGTATGCCCACAGTCCTCACTTGCTTCAAAAAAGGATCACGACTGAAATCAACACCGATCCATCCATTCTGAGATTCCCTTGTTCAGATGGAAGAATACGATGGAGGAGGGCAAGGCATGCTAGCCTCATGAGGCGTGCATTCCTGCCCACGTCTCTCGGACACTAACTTGTTAAACAACCATACGTCCCATACGCTGGGTGAGTTTCATCACCTATAAAATAATAACATCAGGCCTGTCTGTCATGATTTCTCTGCAGCTAAAATAAGATAGCAGATGCTGGACAAGAGAAAAGAACTACACTACGAGAATTATTATTTTCAAGCAGATCACCCCAAAGTGAAAGACAGAACTTCCTATAAATGAGCAACGACAAATGCATTTTTCTCGTGTTGAAATCAACACAACATTCACAGACAACTTATAGGACCTGGTGGAGAAAGGTTCATTAACGATGCTGCCCTCATCACCATTACTTTCTGTCCCCAACATTGAGCAATTAATCAACTACGGCCTTGTGGGATTACTTCTACCCTTGTCGCGAATTTTTGCTCAGTTTTTTTTAACTGTTCAACAACCCAATCCGCTTAGTTAAAGCCCCCACTGTCCCTATTTCCATCAGGCCCTACTATCTGACTCTATGTGCTAACTCATGGCATCCCTTATGCTTATATGGTCATTCCCTGACTCTTGTGAACATGACCTCTTCCTCCCTGAATTTCTCATAGTAATTAACTTCAAATCAAACATTCATTATGCACCTACTACATGAATGCAAGATGGTGCTAAGCTCAGGAGATTAAAAAAAAAAAAAAAGGTCTCAGTGCTCAAGGAGCAAAAATTCAACCAGACCTGTCTTTTGCATTCATCTCACTCTCCTCAGGATTACAGTTATTAACTTTCCCCACAAAAGTCATAAGCAACTGGAAAGAGGAGTTGATTGTAGAGTCAACAAGCATTTATTATAGGCCTACTATATGCTGGATACTGTACCTGTGCTGGAGATACAAATATAATGAATGAGACAATCCCTACTTACCCACAGCTAATATTCCAATGGGGGAGGAAGCATAAACATAAACAAAATACATACAAGGTAATAAAATACAAGAGAGCTTTGAGAGGGAAGTTGGGGGAATCAGGAAAGCCTTCATGTAGAAGGTGGTACTTGAGCTAAGTCTGGAAGGAAGAGAAATGACAATCAGTGTGAACTAACTGTGTCCAGCTTCCATTCCACTGAATGTCCTTACTTTCTGGTTAGAGATTCTATGCAGCAGAGGTGAGGAGGGATGGTATCCAGGCATGGGGGGCAGCCAGTGCAAAGACACAGAGATGGGAGATGGGGTGTTGTGTGTGAAGAACAGAAATGGCCAATAAGGCTAGATCTTGGGGTACAGGAAGGGGAGCAATGTCGAATGAGTCTGGAAAGTCAGGCTGGGGTGGGGGGCGTCTAGGTCGTGAAGCACTTAAAGAAACCTAAACAGAAGTTGATATTTTACGCCCCAGAAGTTGAGTTGAGTGGGCTCATAAACCAGTCATAAACCTGGAGCACATGTGGGCTCAAGGGAAATTATTTTGAGAGCAGTGTGGACAAAGGACTAAAAGAGGAGGGACTTGAGGCAGGGAGGCCAATCAGAAAGTACTGCGGTAATTTAGGTGAGTTTCGCCCAAACCAGGGTGGTTGATGTGCGAAGAGAGAAAAGGGGTCAGAAGCAAGAGATGTTGTGGAAATCAAAACCACAAGATTTGGCAACGGATTGGTTATGTAAGGTGAGGGAGAAAGAGGCGTCAAGAATAACGTCAAGGTGATGACCTGGAGGAATAGTGGCACGTTCAGCGAATACAGGGAAGACTGGAAGAAGATTTGGTTTAGAATTCAGTCAGTCGACTAGCCTTTATAAAGAGCCTACTAAGCACTGAGGATAAAGGCAAAAAACACAGATCAAGGTGGACATGCTGTATTTGATTTGTCTCTGGAGCATCCAATCAGAAATGTCCAAAAGGCAATCATGTGGGAGATGGACTGGATACATATATACATGTGTATATGTACACACATATATACATACATACATGTCATCTGCATAGAGATGATAATTAACCGCAGGAAGCTCATGAAGTGCGTACAGAGAAAAGACTAGAGGACCGAGAACAAAGCCTTGGGGAATTCCCAGCTACGGATCACACGTACCCCCAGAGCCAACCATGAGACTTTACACAAGGTAGATAACTCAAAAATCGTTGGTTGAGAAATTCATCGAAAGCTCCTTGAAAGAGGCTCTCTCTGGGTCCTCACCGTCCCACTCTTTGACATAGACCCTTGTACCACTAAACATGAGGATTCTCCCTGTGGACCCCACGTCCACAACAATCCTCATGTGGGGGCCAATCCTCTTGATGAGAACCCTCTCAGAACTGACCTAGGCCACTCCCCTAATGATGATCTTCCGCCAGGCCCATATGGAAATCCTTTCTAACTGGCAGGACCTAGCAGAGCTTGGGATCTTACTAGCCAAACCTTTACAAAGCCAGGGTCACCTCCACACCCAGGGCTCTCATGAACGAAGATGTGTTGATTTCTATTCTCATGAACAAGTAATATAAGGCAGCATTTGGTCAGCATCCCTGTCTGCAAATACAGAGTAACTCAACCAAGGCAAAATGGGCAGAAAAGACTGCATGACCGGAGTGGGCGGGGGGAGGCCCTGCTTTTAGACCCAGGTTGAGTGGAAACAAATGTGGCTTATTCTTATCCATAAAAGAGTTTTCTTGCTGAACAGGAAATATAGAGCCCTAAAATTCCCAACAGTTTTTGGCAACCAGCATAGGAAGACGGAAGAGTCAATTCCAGGATTGGACACTGGGGGGGTGGGGATGGGGAAGGGAACAGAACAGGGGATGGAGGGGAAATAAATGGAGGGAAAGGGTCAGAAAGCAGAAAGGTAGGGGGAGCAGAGTGGGTAAAGGGGAAAAGAAGAGGAAGAAGAGGAGGGGAAAAGATGGGGAAGGAGGAAGAGCAGGATGGGTAGGAAAGGGGAGAGAGATTAGAGGAAAGATGGGGGGGAGAGCAGGAGGAAGGGAAATAAAGCAGGGGGAGAGGGGTAGCCTTGGAGGTAGGTGAGGAGCAATCAATGGTTACTCATTACAGCCTCATTTTTTGAAGCTAATTATTTTAAGCACCATTGAATAAAGTCTTGTCCCAACTAGGGGCAAACACGTTTTCTAATAACAAAGCCTAATAATCCAGCATTAACAGGACCAGCCTGCTGTTTTATGAGACAATTACTCCATTCCTAAGTAAATCAAAGCGCAAAACCCAAAACCAAGTCACTTTCTTTGCCCAGCAAAGCAGAAGGAAACAGAATATTCCCATCTCTGGTAATACTACAGTCACAACTGGAAGCAGTATAGAAGGAAAGCTATGAAAGTCACTCCTTTGACTTGTGTCCTTGGGGTGCCCTCCTCCCCTCCCCCCTTTAAAATGGAAGCTAAGTCTAGCGGGCAGAGGCTGTTTAGCGTTTGATGTCTGTATCCTCAGGGCCCAGCACAATCCTGGACATACTCACAAGATCATCATCGATTGTCACTCTACACCCAGAAGGCACCTTAGTCTAACCCCCCCCCCCTTTTAGAGATAAGGAGTAAATGTTTGCTTAGTTTAACTAAATTTTGATAATTCTCACATCATACTTTGTTCTTCCGAAGACAGGATGAGGACTATCTTCTTTCCACAGACTTAGAGATCACAAGACAATAGATTGAGAGCCAAAAGTCCTCTCATTTTACAGATGAGAAAACTGAGACCCATAGAAATTAAGCGTCTTACATGGGGGTTAAACAGGCAGTAAATTAGCAGAGCCAGAATATAAACCCAGATCCTCTAACACTAAATCAATGCTCCTTCCACTGTGCTATCCAGCCTTCTAGATGATAGGTTTGTATATACATTCATATAGGTGTTCATTATAAATCATTCTTTCTCTAAAAATTCCCAACACCCAAAATTGATTACCTAGGGCCATAATGCATCTCGCAGCAACTGTAGGTAACTTCAAACATAAAGAATCTTTATGCTGGAGTCCATGTAGAAACTTTAAAAAGTACCATATATGTGCATCCCTACTGTTGACATAAGCATCAGCTGCACAGTGACTAGCACAGGTCCTTAATATATAAACTGATCACATCATCACAGTCATCATCAACCAGTGGAAAATCTTTCTCCAAGATAGACAATATCACAGTTTTGCTAGATTAGGAATCATGACTCTCCAAAGAAAAGGAGGGGAGCTGAGGTCTGGCCATTCTAAGTATAGCATAATGCAATTTGTATATGGAAGAAACATCAAAGGCATAAGGAGACTGAGGGGTTGAAAGTAGGCTGGCAAATGTCCTGGAGTTCTACAAATCTCCAAGAGTCACTCTCCACACAACATCTAGACAGCCAGAGATCTGTCCAACATCTTGACCTGTCAGTCAATGAGTTTTCAGCTCAATTTATAAAATGATCTTCCCTCCCTTCAGAAACAGGCCTCCATCTTCTAACCTAAATAGGAAGTAGTGAGCACCATAGGAAGAAAGAGTGAATTTAGAGGGCACGTCTTTGAATCCCATGTGTCTTTGGGCAAGTCATTATCTCTCCAGCTGTCAGACTTGTCATCTGAGAAATGAAAGGACTGGACTGGAGATCTGTCCCACTCCTAAATCCTTAATCTTGAGGATCTCGAAAGATGATCTCCAAGATACCTTCCTGATTTCCCTAGGAAATGTCATTTCTAATCCAAACTCCCCTCCCCTAACAACAACCACAAAAATTCTACCTGGTATGTATTTTTCCAATTTACTTATCTATGTTTTAAGTAGAATGTAAGCTACTTGAGGACAAGGTCTGTTTTGTTTTGTGTCTTTGTATCCCCACGACCCAACACA